ACATTCCATTATGTGGGGGGAAATAGCTGAGAGCAGGATAGCATCTCTGGCTCCCAGTAGAGTTTTTTGTTTTAGGTTTTTGTTTTCATTTGCAGTAATAGGGATTGACCAGAAATTTCACAGTAGGCTACATCTCCAGCCTATTTATTTATTTATTTTTATTTATTTTTATTTATTTATTTATTTATTTATTTTTTTTTTGAGCCAAGGTCTCCATAAGTTATCAAGTCTGGACTTGAATTTGTGATCCTCCTGCCTCAGCCTCTCAGTGTGCTGGGTTAACAGGCAGTTCTACCATGCCCAGCCGCCTAGTAGGTTTTATTGCCTCACCCAAACAATGGTTCACAACACTCAGTGCTGGCAAAAAAAAATAGAGGATGGAGGCCTGATGACACTGCCCCTCTTGCCGTGGTGCCAGTGAGGACCTCCCCTAGGAGGAGCCTTTGAGCTGAGAATTTGAAATTGGATTAGAATTTAGCAGGTCAATCCAGGCCAAGACCTCATTTACAGCCCGGACTCTCACACATCAGTACATCCATAAGTCCAGCCTACTTTCTTTTCTGGACATACATCCCATCACTTCTGTTGTCCACCAAGTCAAGGGCCCTCTTTTTCTTTTTTCTTTTTGATACTGGGGACTGAACTCAGGTCCTTGCACAGCAGGCGGCAGCACCACTGAGCTAAATCCCTGGCCCTGCTCAGGGCCCTCTTAATGACCTTCTGCTTTCACTCTGGTCCCTGCACTTTTGTCTACACAGCAGCCAGAGGGAACCTTTTACAGTAGTTCATTTCACAGCAGTGCTCCAAACCCTCCAGTGCACTTCCATCACTTGGAAGAGTAAATCTGTTTCCTTACCAGAGCCCACAAGGTGCTCCCTGATCTGCCTGGGCCTACCTCACTCTCCTCCTTTTCTGTCACTTTCTTTTGCCCACTCTTCTCAGTTGCAGCTTCCTGGCTCAGCCTCAAACACCCTTGTCTCAGGAGACCAGGATTCTTGCAGAAAGTAAAGGGCGCTCCATTTGCTGCTGCCCAAATACAGCGGACAGACCGTAGAGTGACCCTGTTCTTGGTGTTAATGCATTTGTGACATTTCCTCCTTTCTGAGAATGAGCCCTGCGATGGAATGTCACTCCTGTGTTTATGCTACATAAGACTCCATCTAGCAGACAGGAGAGAGGTACTCTCTCCAACCTTCAAGAAGCTCATAGCCATGCTGGGAACTGGGCATAGAGAGGCCCATGTGGAGGCAGCTGCATCCTCTTCCTCAAGTCGTTTACCTGCTTTGTTTTCATAGCCCTTCATTTTCTGACATTACTGAGTCTACATGAAAAAAGGATTTCTCCGCTCTCAAAACACTTCTCACACTAAATGTTAAGGGTTTTCTGATACCCAAAAGTTCCCCAGTGCTCTGCAGACATTATCTGGGTATCCTATGATTCAGTCTTTACATCATTGTCTTAGTTACTTTTCTTGCTGCTGAAACAAAATACCTGATACCGACAAATTCAAGAAGGAAAGGTTTATTTTGGCTCAGTTTGTAGAGGTTTCAATCCGTAATTGGCTCCAAGGCAGGTGGTATGGCAGAGGAGTGTCACAAAAGACAAGCAACAGCAGCAGCTGTCTTTCTGTCTCTTATAGCACATACCCTTAGGGCAGATGGCACTTGCATCCAGGGAGGGCCTTCTCATTATCCACATTCAGAACTATGCCAACTAATCCTTGGACTAGTGTAGTAATCACATGCCCTTAAGCCCAGTATGACACACTGTAGATCCAGCCACCTCTGAAAGGCCCAACCTATGATTACATGAGGCTTTGGGGGCACATCTAGATGCAAGCTATAGCAGGGCAGTACTTCACTATTTACAACACTTTATGTAGGACTCAACCAGGGGAATCCCAAGTGGGAGTGATGCAAGATAATGGGGGTATAGGGTGCTACTTGAAGTGTCTACATCCCTCGGGCATGCCACCCTCCCAGCCCCTCTGTGATCACCAGCCCAGCTCTCTGAACCCTGGAGGGACTTCATGAAGGTTTCAACACAGTTAACTATGAAATCAATCTCCAGCCTCTCTCCTTCCCTCAAGGATGGAGGTGGGTGGGGCTGAAGGTTCCAAGCTTTTGATCATGGCTTAGTCGTTCTGTGCGCAGCCCCCATCCTGAAGCTGCCTAGGCTCCCACCAGGAATCACCTCAGAATAAAAGCTGCTTCTGTCATTCAGAAGTCCCCTAGGATTTGGGAGAGCTCTGGGCCAAGGGGCAAATATATTTCTCACTTGTTACAGTGTTTTTATTTCTTGTTTAATTGTTTTGTCCACAAAAATATAAATTGCACAAGACCAGGAATTGGTATTTTATCAGTGATAATCTCTAGCACTTAAGTAGTGCCTTGAACGTAGTAGGTGTTCAGTATTTGTTGAGTGAATTGCATCATGAATGAGCAAAGGAGAAGAGGATATATAGAGACTGCATGTGCCAAGGGCTTGGGGTCACTGGGGGTTCTAGAACTGAGAGGCCTGTGAAGCTGGAAATACAGAGAGGTAGTGATAAAGGCAGGAGACAGAATTATGGACCAGACCATAGAGGACCCTGTAGCTTATATTACAAGGTTTTGTCTAAGGGAAATAAGCTATTAAATGGCTTCAGGTAAACAGAGTTATGGGGTTTTAAAAATTAATTTTATTGGTACAATTTAGATAAATATAATGATCCCATTCATTACAAGGACTTTGTACCTGTACATATTTTGATTCTTCTTTTTTTCCCATCTCCGTCCCCTCCCTTCAACCTCTCTTCCCTTATTTATTTACAAAGCTTTGTTTCCATCTTATCCTTTTTTTTTCTGCCTTCCTTTTCCCCTCCCCCTTCCCTAGTTCCTCTTTCCTTTTGAACAATTTCTTCCTGTTTCACAATATGTGTCATATATTTTGGTCTTTATTTGCTCTTTCAGTTTCTTGCACTAGAGAGACAATGTGATATTTATACATTTCACTTAACTAGAAATGTCTCAGGTTTATCCTTCTTTATGGCTGAGTAGTACTGCACTGTATAGAAGAACCTCATCTTTTTTAGCCATTCATCGGCTGATGGGCATTTGGGTTGTTTCCAAGTTTTAACTATTACTATGCTACTATAATCACAGCTGTGTATATATTGCTGTGATGTGATGCTTTTAATTCTTTTGGGAAGATACCCAGAAGAGGACTAGCTGGGTCAAGTGACACCTCTAATCCTAGTTTTGGGAGGATTTTACACACTGATTTCCATAGTGGTTGCACCAGTCTGTACTCCCACCAATAGTGCAGAAGGGTCCCTTTCTCCCCACAGCCCACAAGCATGTTATTAGTGGAAATCTTGATAGCTATTTTTTTCTGTAGTGAGATGAAAATTGTGTTCTTATAAGATCCCTCGGTTGTTTGGTGGTGAATTGATAGTAATGGAGCAAATGGCAGCAGGGGCCCAGCGAGGTAGCTGTTCAAGTCATCTAGGCAGAGATGTCCAAGACTGGCATTGGGTGGTGGGGTTGAAGAAGATACAGAGACAAAATTTGGAGGTAAAATTAGCTGGGAGCACTTCCAGTTCCTATGAGAAAAAAAATAGCTGCTATGCTAAGTAGATGGAAGAGACACAAGCTCAGATGTGTTCATTGGCACAAAACTGAGCCAACCAAGTGCAGCTTTCTTTCTTCCCCTCTGTACACAACCAACAAATCCTGGTGGAGCTTTTGCCACACATCAGATCTGCAGCAAGTCCAAAGCTAAATAAGGTACTGATGACACAAAAAAGAGAGTGAGAGTTTCCCCTTTGGGCTCTCTATACCCTATTCCTTGTGGTGGTCTCCTGTCTGGTCCTGTTTGCACTGGTCGGCTTCATGTTGTGTACATTTTATCTTCTCTGCTTACCCTAAAGACCCACTCATATGACTTTACAAGCATGAAAGGTGTTCGGAGCATTATCCTGAGTCTTTGCACTGCCCTCATAGTTAACTATTTGCTTTATTTCATGTTTATTCAACAAATATTTATTTGAATGTTCATAATAGGCCTATTTTAAGTGCTGGATAAACAAGACAGTCTTGCCCTCGTGGAACAAACATTCCATTGTGTACCTGAGGCATAGGTCTGGGTCATAGAAAGTAAAATTCACTAAACTATCCATCATTGCATTGAACACCAAAAGGCTCCTCCCCCCCACCTTGTGACCCCCATATGGCAAGCTTTCTCCCTCAGGTACACCCAGAAGATGGTTTAGAAAAATAATGCTTCAGGCTGGGTGTGGTGGCATATGCCTATAGTCCTAGCACTGCAGAGGCCGAGGCAGGAATATTGCCATGAGTTCAAGGCCAGCCTGTCTTTAAAGAAAAAAAAAAAAAAAAAAAAAAA